GAATGACTAAACATTTAACAGCCTGAGCTAGACATCCTGTCTACTCTAAACATTTCTAATACATCAAGTATCTAACCAATATCTGACTAAAAATACCTAACATGGTTCTCATCTCAGACAATGATGAGAATCACTACAGAGAGGAGATCCAGCACTTGACAAGGTGGTGTTCAGATAACAATCTTGTCCTGAACGCCAACAAGACTAAGGAAGTCATTGTGGATTATAGGAGGTCCAGAAAGACAATACATGCTCCTCTTCTCATACACAAGGAGGTGGTGGAGCAAGTGGATAACATCAAGTTCCTGGGCATCCACATCACATCTGAGCTGACCTGGTCTCTGAACACATCCTACCTGGTGAAGAAAGCCCAGCAAAGGCTTTTCTTCCTCAGGAAGCTGAAACGCGCTGGTCTCTCCTCTCAGTTGCTCGCAAACTTCTACAGAGCAACAGCAGAGAGCATCCTCTGTCTCAGTGAGACAGTGTGGTACATATATACGCCCCTTTTCCGTTTGTTCCCTGCTGGTTCATTGATTGACGATCACATGTGTTAGGTTATTTCTTAGTTAGATAGATATGGATTAGAGATCTGTTGTCTAGAAATGTTTAGTGCAGACAGGGTGACTAGCTTTGCTGTAACTATTCAGCCTGCAGGGATTGCAGGCACGCCAAGGTTACAGGAAAAGAGCTTTTAGGGTCAACTGTAATGCTAGTCTTAATATTTGTCTTAAAGTGTAAGGTTATGTCCCATTGTTTAGATACACACCACGAAAACAACAGTCACGCCCCTTGACTTTTCCTCATGTTTTGGCTAAACGATAGAGCAGCTGCAAAGCTTGCTTATCGGGTGGCGTCACGGTTTGACGCCCCTTGTAGCATGGGCTAGCCCAAAAATGATTAATATTATATAGGTTGTGGGGTCCAGACTTGCTCAGCTTTCTGCTGCCTGCGCGCAGGTAGAGGGGTGAGAGAGCTCTGGACGTGTAATGTGAATTTTACCTGTGATCCTCTGAATAAACCAGCACGGTTATTTTTTATAAAATCTAAAGCAGTCTCTTTCGTCTCATTGAGAGTTCCTGGTTTGAAAGAACCGGAAGAAGCTACAAAGAAATAATAGCTTATACATGCCTTGTATAATTTCTGACACTCACTCAATTGCTGTGGATCCTATGTCAGTTTCTTTTGTCAGCTTTTGGCTCCTCTATTTATTGATCATCTCTCCGGCTTGTGCTGCTGCTTACCTGAAGCTCCAACTCTCCGTGTGCGGATGCTAGCACCACTCCTGTTCACCCCTTGAGTAAGCTGGGTCACCTGCTCCTCTGGATCTCCGTGTATGTGACAGAACACAGGAGGTAGAGAGTTACACTCTCCCTCTGGCTCAGTCCCATCCAGTTCCCGTTCTGCCTCTAATCCTCCTCCCTCCATCATCTGGTAACCCATTACTGTGTTTATTGAATAAACTCTCTTTTGTTCCACTCCTGGGTCTCGTCTCTGCTTATTGGGGTCCCCTGTACCTGCTCAGACCCTAACAAAGGTGGCCAGAAACACAAATTTAAATCAATAACATCCTTGCTCTGTCTCTGCTATACGTATATTTAAATTACTGACATGTTCACAATGCCAAATTTATAAGATGATCATATGACAGACACTGAATTTACCACTTGTCCTGCTGCCCCCACTTACTGGATCATGGTAGTGGTTGTTTACCTGCCACACCTCAGCTTTGCCAGGGTTCCACCCACTTTGCCATACACCCATCTCGCTAGCATTTACACCTTATGTGGCCTATGAAATGACTGTATCACCTCAATCCACGTGCCCACACTGTGTCATTTAAACAACAGTGACTCCTCAGTGCGACATTCCTCACTGTCTGTGTTATGGAGGTCTAATCTTAACAAAACAGCTGTCACAAGCCTGAACATCTCGCTGTCGTTATGGGCAACAA